ATACAAAAATCTCAAGCCTCATCAGTGCATTCATAGCAAGCAATCTGGAATATTTTCACATGACAGGAGAAGAAAATGAGATCATAATTTTCATATCATATGTTGATCTGGGAAATGGGAAATTCTACTAACCAGGGACATACAGAATGATTGCCAAGTACCAATGATAAACTTCTAAACACAGAGACCCCAATCCTTACAACCATTGTGGTTTTCTCCAACCCAATTCAGCAGCGCTTGTGCAGGTTCAAAGAAGAAGACAAAGTTGCATTGATCATGGCGTTCAGTGTGAGTATAACAAAAAGACAAGGACACTGGGAAGGAAGAGGCTGAGAAAACAGTGGTGAGTCTGGCAATAAATCCTTATTTTTGTGTTTTCCAAAAACACTGGATGAAGACAAAATCAACATTTTAAAGCATCAACAGTTTGCTGCATTAATACTCTAGTTGACTGCAAAATGTAGAGAACTACTGATTGGGTTTGGGTTTGGTTCTCTGATCATGATCCAAACTGCACTGCCACACAGGAAATCCAGGACTCTAATAACAATCCTTGTGATGTTAATGTGAGTTTTGTGCATTTTCAAAGTATTACCTGTCAGGCCTCACGCCTGGGAGTGACATTTATAACCTTTGTGAACAAAGAGATAAGTTGGTCATTGTGGTATTTCTAAATCAGGAAGCAGGGTAGTTACCGGTGGTGCAGAAAGTATGACATGCTTACCCTGACCTCTAAGTGACAGAACAGTACAAGTAGTGACCAAAATGTTAGGACTTCTGGAAAATGGTAGTAAAGGACGACTTACGTCATTCAGTAAATAATCATGCTTAGAGAAAAGAGAAAAAAATAAGATACAGTTTGAATTTTGAAAGAGAGAGATCTAACAAATGTAATGAACATTAGGCAGAGAGTTCTATGGGACCCCGAGTTTTATCTGACCTATTTAATCACCCACTGGGATATAACTTCTCCTCTTCACATCTCTAGGAGTGATTACAGTTGTAATGTGTCATCTGAGCGGAATAAATGGTCAATGAGTCGGTATAGTGATTAATACTCCAGAAGAAATTTTATGTGTAATAATTTTATACATTTCTATTAAAATTACAGTAAAACTTTTTGCAATATAAATGTGAGAAATACAGAAAAAAATGAGTATGCCGGATTTAGGTTAAATATCTGTTTAAGACAATCAAAAGGCAGTTTTTTCTGTTTACTTCTCTTCCTTTGACTTCCATTTCCTGATTTGATTTCAGCTGTCATTTACCTTACTATTTAAGAAACCAAAGTAGGTTTTCTGATTTCCTTGGGTATCAGTCTGAATCCCAGCAAAATAAAACCAGCGGATAACCAGCTATATACTTTTTTAGAAAACATCGTTATTTACATAAGCACTTCCACTTCTAGAAAGAGACCACCAGCTTCACTGGTGCAGAATGAAACAGTTATTTAAAGTAAAACAAAAATTGAATCAAGGCACAGAGAATACTGATAGCAATCAGGATATTTCTATCACTTACTATGGGAATGAACTGCCAGTAACTGAACCACAAGGACCACAACACATGCAGTAAATTTCCAGGATGTAAAAGTAGTCAGTTCAAGTACATGAGTCAAGAGTAGCATCATGATTAAGAACTGTGGCCTTGGTGCCATTCTGCCAGGGTTCGAATCTTGTCTCTATCACTTACTAGCAATGTTGATAGTAAATAAATTACTGTTCTCCTCATCTGTAAAGCAGGGCTAATAATAATAATACCCACCTCACAGGGTTATCATGAGAGGATTAAATCACATAATCCATGTAAAATGATTTGAAACACATGATCACATAAAAGGCACTCAAAAAGCAAGTGCCATTAATAACTTTACTACTATTTTCTGGTGTGAAGATCACATTGCCAAGGATCAAGCAATAGATCAAGATCCACAGACGAACACTAACAAAATAAAGATGGACCTCCTGGTGGGATAAACTGAGATGACCAAAGGATTCTCCTTATTCTCATCATAACTACACAGTTCCATGTATCACATAAAAATAACAAACTTGCACAAATTTTTAATAAATAAAGGCTGATTTAGTTAATTTGGGTTTCAGAGTAACATTGTATCTCTTTGAGAAAAAAGCTGGCTGATAGAGAATAGTGTATTGGTGGCAAGATAAACTTTTTGTATGTTTTTCATAAACAAGTAAAATAAAACAAATATATCATATACCTTGACAAAAGATCATGATCATAAATGGTTATTACATGTTTCTTAAAGTATAAATCCTAAAATGCAAACAAGTGCTGACAAAATTGTCTCTCTCTAGGCTTTATAATTTGTCTTTTCAAGCATATATTCCCAAGAACAGGACGAATTTCTCTTAAAAAGTACAACAGAATCTAGCATGGTGCCTTATACTTAGGAAGCCTTCAATAAGCATTTATGATGCAGTTTTGAAATCAGGCAGAAATAAGCTGAAAGTACAGCTCCTACCCATACTAGCTGGGTGATGCTGAACAAATTGCTTACCCTCTTTTCGATCTTAATCCTTTTATTTGCACCATGAGCCCGAAAATACATAAACCACAAGAGTTTTGTGAAAATCAAATAAGGAAGCAATATGCAAAATATCTATCTGTACACTGTCTAGCACATAGCACTCATGTCATCTGCAAATGGAGATCGTTCTAGTTTTTCCTTTCCGATCTGGATACCTTCTAATATTTTTTTTTTACCTAATTGCCCTGGTTATAACCTCCGGTGCAAAGTTGATAAGAGTGACAAGAATAAACTAACTCAAAAATAAATTTATCCAAGGATGTACAAGACCTGAACGATGAAAACTACAACATAGTGTAGAAAGAAATTTTTAAAGGTCTAAATAAATGGAAACATTTCCTGTGTCCCTGGATTGGAGGGGTTAAAATTGTTAAGACAGCAATACTTCCCAAACTGGCCTACAGATCCAATGCAAACCTGTAAAATTCCAGCTGCCTTTTTTTGCAGAAATGAACAAGCTGACTTTAGAATTCATATAGAAATGCAAGGAACCCCAAATAGTGAAAACAATCTTATAAAAGGAAAATTAAGTTGGAGGACTCACACTTCTTGCTTACAAACTTAATGCAGAGCTACAGTAATAAAGACAGTGTAGCACAGATGTAAGGATACACATACAGATCAGTGGAATAAAATTAAGAGTCCAAATAAACTGATACATCTATAGTCAAATGATTTTCAACAAGGGTGCCACAATCATTCAGTGGAGAAAGAAGGTCTTTTCAACAAACAGTGCCGAGGCAATTGGATAGCTACATAACAAAAGAATTAATTTAGAACCCAACCTCACACCATATGCAAAAATTAACTCAAAAAGGATCAATGACTTAATTCTAAGACAGAAAATATAAAACACATAAAAGGAAATATAGGTGTAAATCTTTGTGACCTTGGATTAGGCAACAGTTCAATTGATAAATATGGACTCCATTAAAATTAAAAACTTTTGTATGTCACAGGACGCTATCAAGAATGTGAAAAGAAAACCCACAAAATAGGAGAGAATATCTGCAAATCACACATCTAATAAAAATCCAGTATTCAGGATATATATAAAGAACTTTAATAACTCAACAACAACAAAAAAGAAATAATCCAATTAAAAATGGGCAACAAATATAAAGAGATGTTTCTCCAAAGAAGATGCACAAGTGGCCAATAAGCACATGGAAAAATGCTCAAAATCACTAATCATTAGGGAAGTGCAAATCTGAGCCACCATGAAATACCACTTCACACACACTCAGATGGCTATAACTGGGGTGGAAAAAAAGGAGAATCACAAGTGTTGGAGAAGATGGAATTGGAACCATCATACACTGCTGGTGGGAATATAAAATGGTACAGCCACTATCAAAAATAGTTTGGTAGTTTCTCAAACACTCAGAGTTAACATATGTCCCAGCAATTCCATTAAATGATGAATGGATAAACACATGTCATATATCCATGAATGTAATATTATTACACCAAAAAAAGGGAATACACTATTGATACACGCTATTGGATGAACCTTGAAAAGATTATATTAAGTGAGAAGCCAAAAACAAAAGGCCACATAATGTATGATTCCATTTATATAAAATGTCCAGAATAAGCAAATTCATAGAAACAAAAAATAAATTAATGGTTGCCAGGGGATGAGGGAAGGAGAAGACTGGAATGACTGCTAACAGTTACAGATTTCTTTTTTGGATAATGGAAATGTTCTGGAATTAGACAGTGGGGATGGTTGCACAACACTGTGAACACACTAAAAACTACTGAACTGTATACATTAAAATAGTGAATCGCACATTATATGAACTTTATCTCAATTTAAAAACTGCAGAAAAACTTGAAACTGGATCATTCCTCCCAAATTGCACATCTAAATAAATGGAAAAATTTATTTTTTGTGGCAACACATACACATTGGTTCTTACTTCTATACTCCCTCAATAATGCCCCAAATGTTTCAGTGAGCTGGCATTTTTTTGAAATCTTTAAAATTCTGATTCTTTGTATATCTCTTCTAACTTCTACCCTTTCTTCTCTAGAATAAGCATCTTAAATTGTGTGGTTTTGAAGAAACACTGCTCACAAGCTTGCATATATACATCTGTAGCTATGTGAATCTCTATATTCACCTACATCTACATCTATTGATATTGATATAGATGTAGATGGATACACAGATATAAATAGAGGGAAAGAAAGAGAGATGACAGATAGGCACATATAGGAAATTCACTAAGAAATATTTTCCTAATATGAAACGACCTGCTCTTCTTTCACAGACTTCTTTAGAAATAGTGATTCTTTTGTCAAAATTACACCACCATGTGTATTAAATAATTTGCTCAGTAGAAAGCATTTACCGTAAATCAAGTTATTTACTTATTTATTTTTATATCTTAACCCTTTTATATTCTATATCAACACTGATATTCTACCAGTGAGAACTTACCCTAAGCATGGGGCCATTTTGAAAGACATGTGGCTCATCACAAACCACACAGTATTCATTCAATACAGGGATCCGCTGTTCAGCAAACTCAATTGTCTGAATAAAACAACAAAGATAAATTATTAAGTCAAGTTCATAAATAATTTGAAAACCCATTAAAAGCTAAAATATTTCTGCAACGGATGACGTGGCTCATACCTGCACTAGGAAGCCGCGGTCTCGTATTGGAATGCATTTGGCACCATTTGGCTATAAAAGGCAAAGTAAAAGAAGAAAACAATTTTTTAACTCAGAGAATATATGAATTACAGCCTTTGACTTTTTGCAACAGTGAATACAAGTGTGATCTAAGGTCAACTGTAATATGAATTAAATCACTGATTATGACATTAAGATTTTAGAATTTCTTTATAACATACTTTCTGCCATTACTACCACAAGCCTTGTCTAAGCTAAACCAATAGTATTCTTAATTATTTGATCTTCTAGTAAAAATGACTGGCATTTTTAAATGATCACAAAAGCTCATTTTCTCTACTACTTTTTGTCAAATGCTCCCACCTCCTCATTTAGACTATTTCCATCTTATTTTACAATGAGAATTATTCCTCCAAGGATATATGAGACAGCTACTGAGGGGGTACAACACTAAACTATTGTACTGTAGTAGGCTTAACCATACAGGAAGATTGTAAGACATTTTCTTTTACAGAATATGTGAAATTATCTTTCTTAGGTGAAACTGTCACGGAAAACGTTCTATGTTAACATTTTGACATTATTTTCTGTGTGTCCTTACTGCTTACTTTTGATAAGAAATGGGCTTTTAGGGATGTCCATCTAAAATTATCAACATACTTAAATACATTTTCTTAACACAAATATAATTTTATGGTATCATTTACAATATAATTTTAGAAATAAAGCTATACAAGAGCAGCACAACTTTCTGATAATGTATCTTATTTTTTTCAATTTCATCTATTACTAGGTGTATCCATATATATGGCTAAGAGTTAAGTATACCCTTAGCCCAGTGCACACACGCATTTACTAAAAGTAAACAACATTTTTATCAACTATTTTACGTATTTAATATACATAAGATAGGTCTGTTTCTTTATCTGAAATCAGCTATAATGCTGATCACTCCAAAGGTAAACTCCGTGTAAGACTGACTCCCAATAAATACCACGCAGAGGACTTAAGTTTGAATACAGTTACCTTCTGGCCCCATCTCCACCAAAAAACTTCAGGATAAAGTGATTTCAGTTTTAGAAAGTAGACACTGAAAGCAGCTTTAAGTGAAGCTTAAAGTAGTAGAAGTAGATGTTGCTTCTCTCCACAAGTTAACGACGTTCACAGGCAAATGTTCTTATATGTATATATAAAAGGAAGGACATTACTCTGAATTTAATTATTAGACAAACTTTGTCCTCCACTACTTATGTATGAAAACTAGAGAACAGATAAACCTACTTGATAAAACATTAAAATGCCCTGCTTGCTTAAAAGGATCGGATTTGTGGATCCAACTGACTTCCTTCCATTTTTAGCAGCTTTCATGACCACAACAGGAATTTGGACTAGACCTTCAATCAATAGCTATATTTATTTTTTCAGAATCAAAATGAACATGCCAGTACTGGTTGCCAATGTCTGGTATGCTATAGTAATATCCAAAAAGAAACAAAGGGTAAATTCTAAAAAACAAAAACGAAAACGAAGATCTTGCTTCTTTCCTCTACCAGGTCTTACAAAAACCTCTCCTGCACCTTGGCTAACATTTAGGAACTCAGGATGAAAGTATTTACGCACAGCAGGCTGGGAAGATGACGATGAAGACGGTGTTAAGATACCGATAAGCCCTGAGGTAAGAGAGAGCCTCCTGCCCTCTGCATTAGGTTCCTTGAAAAGCTCCGTCTTGGATGACTTGGGAGCACTGGAGTAAGACTTGCTGAGCAACTTGTGGTTTTTCAGTCCATACAGCTCTTCCATTCTGAGATTACTGGAGTAAGATCTGCTTAACAGTTTGTGGGGCTTCAAGTTGGTGTTGTGCTCGCATCGCGGGTCTCCAGAACAGGACCGAGTCAACAGTTTGTGCGACTTCAGAGTGAGGCAGTCCTCTTGCTTGACAGCTGCCGGGCAGGGCCGGTTCAAAAGTTTGTGCGACTTAATGGCCGCCACCGCCTGCTCAGCCCTGGGGTCGCTGGACAGGGAGCGACCAAAGGTCCTGTGCGACTTGGTGGCGCACACGTCGTCGGTCTTGACGGTACTGGAACAAGTCCTCCGCAGCAGCTTATGCGTTTTGGAAATTCCATCTTGCTCAGATTTCAGTTTGGATTTGCTTTTACCACAACCAGGGGGAGGATAACTTGGCGACCTTGAAAATGGAACAACAATTAATACAGGGCAAATCATGAGTATGACACACGGCGGAGAACACCTGGTAGGCGCAATCAACTCAACTCGACCACAAATACCACCTCGTTTTAATACAGCCCATCCAGCTCGGATAGCAACCGCAATATGGGCACAGTGATCACATGGACTGAACTGAATTATATTTTTCCTGCAAAGCAAAAACAGATTATCAGGTTTTGCACCCCTCCTGTCCCAGAACTCTTTGCAGAACTAATTTTGGTACAGAAAAATCTATGTGATTAGAAAACATAGAATGTCATTTTAACACATTTAACGCATGTTAAGAAAACGAACACTCTGAATGCAGAAATGGGTATCTATGCTTTTGATGGAATCGATAGAACTTGGTCCGTTCTTTGAAGTCACACAGAAAATAAATGAATGCCAAGACTATAGAAAGAATGCTCTGAAGTACCTAACTATGGAGCAGCACATGCTCAGAATTGAAGACAACAGAGAAGTCATCTGCTACCCACCTGCGCAAGGTAGAAAATAAATGCAGGGGAGATTTCACCTTCTTCTCTGACAGCTTCTTACTGTGCAGGCAATTGGATTTCTCTTTGCTCTGTTTCCACTGCTGTGTAACGAATGTCTGCATGATCCTGTCAATCCAAAGTAAGTCTGTCATCACAGCTCCAAGATGATATGAGATTTCCGTATTATGCAGAGAATGTATTTATCAAAGGAAAATAAATGCATAGTAATTGGTGAGATTATAATTTAAAATCACACGAGATGTTTCCATGTGTAGGAAAGCACCATGCAGAAAATTTCTATGACTTTATTGCATTTTGGTTAATAACTCATTAATTACTATGATATGATTAATAGCATAAATGACAAAAGAAGTGATAAAATAGGGGCGCTTGGGTGGCTCAGGTGGTTAAGCGTCTGCCTTCAGCTCAGGTCATGATCCCAGGGTCCTGGGATGGAGCCCCGCATCGGGCTCCCAGCTCAGTGGGGAGTCTGCTTCTCCCTCTCTCTGTCCTCCCCTTCCCCTCACCACTTGTGCTCATGCTCTCTTGCTCGCTCTCTCTCTCTCTCAAATAAATAAATAAATACCTTTAAAAAAAAAAGAATTGATAAATAATAGGCTATAAAGATATTTAGAAGGGCAGCCTTTAAACAACTTTAGCCGAAGTTCTTTAGCCAAAAGGAAGTTCTGAATTATTTTGCTGGTGACAGAAACACATTTTGGAAATAATGTTTGATATTAACTATGATTTTATCACTTAAGATACAAGTAAAGTCAATTTCTTTTTACTTGATTTGCTTATGCAGTTTTCTTCATGAAAAGGAAAATAAAATGAAACTCTGAAATCGTTAAGTAAAAAGGAACCATGTAAAACTGACTCTATGGAGAAATATGAAATCAGCAAATTTTCTCTCTCTGCACAGCCCATTCACTTTTTTTTTTTTT